CCGGACCGGGACCGGCAATGGGATCGCAACGCTCGGCATCGTGCCCGCACCTCGCTCAGCCAGTGAGCGGCCGGTCTGTATGTGGGATCCGAACCCTCGGCGGGAGGGCCGCTGCGCTCCCAAGCAGCGCACTGTAGCAGTGCGCCACCGGGCCGGCCCCGGGATCTGAACTCTTGACCTTGGTGTTGTGAGCACCATGCTCTAACCAGCTGAGCTAACCGACCAGCCTGCAGCTTCGATTTATAAGGCAAATGTTCTGGGAGCACAAGAGAAAGCTGTCAGGCAGCACCAAATGCTTTAATCAGCAGGTCCACATAATGCAGTTGGAAGGAGTGTACTTTTATTTAAATAGTTCTGTAGTGCTCTTTGGTTTCTTTGTTTTTAATTAAATCTCACACTTAGAAAAGAGTCGAGACAGGCCAGACAGCCCAGCAGGGAACCAGCACAATTATGCACATTGATCTATTCAGTCTGCAGAGCCCAGGGTGCAGGATTTCATCTGGGGTTTCTTGGGAAAACCAGAATGCATGTTCATTCTTGAATCTGAAGATCTGTCTTTCGACATAAGAGAAGTTTGCCTTTGAAGACTGGGGCAGAGGTAGGAACAGCTGGCTCTTGGTGAAAGCCTTTGGCTTTTCCAGGGAAGCAGAAATCAAACCACAGAAAGGCTGCCTTGAATCTGGAGTCATGATTTCCCATCAGCCAGTGCAGCAGGCCAGGGAGAGGCAAAAGGGAGTGGTGGGGTCTGTGGCAAAGCAGTGACAGGACAATTCCTAGTAGCTTCACCAGGGGGCAGTGCAGGCTCAGGGGGCCAGAACTGGGGAGTTTTTCCAGGAGAAACTCCAAATCTGGATGTTCCATGCAATTTGCTCATTTTTATTTTATTTTATTTATTTATTTTTTTGACTGGTAAGGGGATCGCAACCCTTAGCTTGGTGTTGTCTGCACCATGCTCAGCCAGTGAGCACACCGGCCATCCCTATATAGGATCCGAACCTGCGGCCTCGATGCTATCAGCACTGCACTCTCCCGAGTGAGCCACGGGGCCGGCCCAATTTGCTCATTTTTAAATGTTGGCAGCTAATTCCAAATGTCTCAAATACTGGATGGGGCCAACCAAACCTGCCTTCTCACCTAGTAAGGCCTGCAGGCCTCCTATTTGCAACCTTTGCCCTGAACAGACATGGTTCTGCAAAACAGTCATCAGACCTTGTTCTCCCTGCACACACACACAGGCACCCGAAATAACCTTCCTAACCCGCAGCAGCATTTTACAACCTTCTAAAACCCATGCCCCCATCTGACAAAAATTGCAAACACTCTCATACCCCACATGACCACACCCTGAGTTGAGAATCACTGCATCTTCTGGATGTTGCCAAAGCCCAGAAGACTTGTCCGCTTTGCTTTCTGTGGTCTGTCTTATAAAACAATATGATTGGTCAGTTGGTTGTTGGTTTTCCATGTATGAAATTATTTTAAAATGTGCACGCATCTCAGATGGCTTTACCCTCATCCTCGAGGAGGGGGTACATTCCATCCCCTCCCACGCGTGGGTCACTGGATTGGAGCCAGTTACCTCCCCCGAGTCAGGGCTGCACACTTCCTACCGAATTGTGGAGTCCTTCTTAACTCCCTCTGACAGCCCTGTTCATGACTCTATTCGTTTCCAGATGTTGCCAGGACAAAATCCCACAGACTGGGTAGCTTAAACAGACTCAGTTCTGGAGGCTGGAAGTTCTGGAGGCAGGGCAGGGCAGGGCAGGGCTGGCTCCCTCTGAGGCTGAGGGAGCATCTATCCCAGGCCTCTCCCCAGCTTCTGGTGGCTGCTGACAATCCTTGGCCTTCCTAGGCTTGTAGAAGAATCGCCCCAGTCTCTGCCTCCGTTTTCACAGTGTTCTCCCTGTGTATGTGTCTGTGTCCAAATCTTACCCTTTATAAGGACACCAGTCATTGGATTAGGGCCCACCTTCCTCCAGTATGACCTCATAACTAACTCCATCTGCAAAAACCCTATTTCCAAATAAGGTCTCCTTCTGAGGTCCTGGGGCTTAGGACATAAACATATGGATTTGGGGGGAATTACAGTGCAAACCATAACACCCTCTTTCTTCCAGTTCATGACCTTGTGTGAAGGAAAAAAAAGCCTAGGCCACATGATTCAGCAAGAAGCACCAGCTTTTGTATTAAATCAAGTGATCTGAGGGGTGCAGGCAGGTCGCATGGGGGTCAGCATGGCTCACAAATACAAACGGGAGGGAAAGACAGACCTGGCCAGCCCCACACTGCACTCCTCTCCCCATCGAGGCTGGGTGGGGAGGAGAGGTGATGTGGGTCTTGGAAGTTGCCAGGACAGAAGGTTGAGTGTCTTCTCAAAGGGGCCAGGTCACCTGTCCAGGGCAGTTTGGCCAGAGAGCATCAGATTGGGAGAGAAATTGAAAACCCACCAATCCCTCCCCCTAGCAGCAAAGCCACAAATGAGCGACGGACAGGATGGGCGGCGGCCAGGAGGTCATATGCTGCCCTCGTCCAGCATCCTGTTGAGGCCGTCGCAGATCCTGTGCAGGTGGCTGCAGTAGGGCTCGGCGGGGCTGTACAGCGTGGCCAGGAAGTCACAGTCGGCCAAGTGGCCAAAGACGTGGCTGATGCGGCCATGGGACTTGGCAGTGAGGTGTGGGCCCACGGCCTGGTGAAGCAGGTCCCGGCACTCGAGCAGGCCGGTGGCCAGCACACGCCGGTCAAAGGTGAAGTCCACCTGGTGGAAGCTGACCACGGTCATGGCCAGGCTGCGCGCCCGCTGGCGGAAGCGCTGCAGCAGCGCCAGCTCCTCGCTGCCCAGCTGGCCCCCGCGCACCAGCAGCCCCAGCTTCACGGCCACCTTGACCAGGTTCTTCATCACCTTCTGGGCCTCCCTGCGGCTGCGCGTGAACTCTTTGGTGGCGCGGTACAGCTCGTCCAGCACGTCGCTGCTCGTGTCATCCACAAACACGGCCACCATCGCCTTGGACGCCATCTTGCTCAGGAGCTTCTTCTGGGCCTGGAGAGCCAGGCTCTTGGAGCTGAAGGTGTCCATCAGCCCTGCTGGGGGAAGAGACAGACCGGTCATCAGTCCCCGTGGCCCCTGCAGCTGGGAGTCCCGCCCCAGGCATCCTTCACTCTTGCCACTTTTGTTTGCTCCCACCATCTTCCCAATCTGTGAAATGGGTACATTCCCACAGGGATCTCAGGGCACCAAAATGGGCAAGATACTTATACAGGATCATGAAATGGTTATTGTTTCGACCCAACAG